ATTGGATGACGATTACTTGAAGCTTAAGAAAGACTTCTCGGACCCAAGTAATCGGGAGAGTGAACGAAAGACTTTGAGCTCTCTACTTTTCATCTAAGTGTTTAGGAAAAATAGGTTTGAATTTGTTTATCGTTTTAAAAGACAATTATTCGAGCTTAAGAAAGACTTTTCGGACCCAAACAATTGGGAGAGCGAACCAAAGACTTGGAACTCTCTCTTTTTCTTCTAAGTGTTGAAATTGTATTTGAGTAACTATTAAGTATTTTAATTTTATTTGAGAAAATGCTCGATATGAATCGAGGTTTTAAGTTTGCGTATGGAACGAGCAAAGTTGAACTAAAAGATATGAGGTCCTATGGGTATAGGGTAAGGTCGATGGCGAGGCCTAAGCACTCGACTTACAAGGAGTGTTAAAGGTTAATTGCATTTGTTTTAAAGATACTTGATGTTGGATCAAGTTTGGAAAATAATTTGATTTTAATTTTATACGTGAAGTGTGTAGCAAACGTCGTTGTACAAAGCCCAAGAGGAGGCTATAAGGTCGATGGCGATCGTGAAAACAATCGGCTTACAATGGTGTTTGAAAATGGGCTTGACATTAAGTCAAGATATTAGTTTTTAAATAGGTTGAACAAGCATGTGAACAACATAAATATAATTGAGATACGATAATAAAACATATAAAAACATCACAAGAGAAAATAGTAACCTAAATAGAATGGGGGATAGGCTAATCTAGACATGCTAACCTAATTAACATCCTAATTAACTAAGGTTAGTAAAAGTAAAGAAATTAAACTAAATTATTTTAGATTATTTTAGAATTTAAAGAGAAAATAAATAATTAAGATAATTATTAATTTGAAATAGAAAATAAAATTAAAGTTAAGTATTTTTGTGTTGCCTTAGAATTAAAAGAAAAAAAACTAATTTAAACCAATTAATCAAATTAAAATAAATTATTTAATAATATCAATAATTAAGCAAATGAATTATTATTAAATAAAAGATTTTAATAAAACTAACTAAATTAATAACAATTCAGAATTTTCTTAACAGAAAAATTAAATAGTGTTTTTCTTGAAATATTTGCCATGAAAATATATTTAAACTAATAATAAAAAGTTAGTAGAAAAAAAAAACCAATGGGCCAGTCTGCTAGATAAAATGGGGGTGTTAGAAGTGAAATTATTCCCCAGGCCCATGAAGATGATGGTCTGCGTGGGGATTCACGGTGAACCCTCATCCAAACGTAGATCTCAGCCACTGATCTCAACTGAAATCCACTCAACCTCCATCCAAAGGCTAAACACGAAAGGGGGTATGGCAACAATGGTGAGGTTCACGTCCAGGATCCAAGCAGACCACACTTGGGAAGTCCATCGGTCAAAAAAAATTGGGAGAGTAACACCTGCCCCGGTTTAATTGCAAAACGCCTTAGGGGACTGCAAAATCATTGGAAAAAACTCCCCCTTTTCCTTGAAACACGACAACCAACCTTCATCCTTCCCAACACAAGTTCTCTTCTCAAAAATAAACCTTCGATCTCTTATTTCTCTCTCTCACCATTATTATCCTACAACTCAAACCCTTCTGCTTCACCTCTCAAACGAATTTCTCTCAACCAAAACATATTTCATTTTCCTGGACTCAATCAAAACTTTATCCCCTCCACTCATCTCAAACGAAATTCATGGATCCCATCCCTAAATCTCTAACCCATTTTCACAAATCTAAACCTAAACATATTACTTAAATGTCCTAGATTTTCTCCGATTGAAACACAAACGTGAAAAAACAATATTTGAAACCGCAAGAAAAACTCAGGGGATTCAATGAAGCCACGGATGAGGTGGTAAAGTAAGTACCTGGTAGACGATTCGGGTGGTGTTTCCTCCGTTGGTGTTGAAACGAGCTCAACAGCAAGCCTTCTGTCACTCTTCAGCTGAGCTTCCGCCTTCGGTAAGAGCTTTTTAGGGTTTTCGCCGCAGAGAAGTTTTAGGTTTTTTCTCTTCTTTTTTTCCGCCCCCTCTTGAACAGTATGCGTTTATATAGGGGTGAAATTAGGGTTGCTTTTTGGTAATAGGAGTAGAAATCGTATGATTTTGGACTCCTTTCTTGTGATTTTTGTCTGTTAGTAGTTTCTGGAAATATCTATTTTTACCCTGATTTTTTACAATGTGAGTTTATAATTTTCACTGTGATGATGTGGAATTTTCACTTTTGTTTCATGGTCGTTGGTCCCTTGCAGGGTATTGAAGCTCAACAAATCAATATTGGAATAAACTCGTGGAAAGTTGCTGTAATCAGTTTCTCCAAGAAATTTGAAACTGAGAAGTATTATCCCTCTGAGTCCCATCACCTTGCTTTCTTGGTATGCTAATTCTTTGTATCACTTCTATCTTGCTCACACTAATAAAATCCTTTCATCCATTTTCATGTGTATTCTACAAACTTGGCTCGAAGACAAGACTTTGGAGCTTGGAAGACATTTAAGAGATTGGACCCCATTGATGAGGGTAAGGTGAACCTGCCTTAAACCGATCTTCAGACGCAACCACACCATCGTTGACTTGTGCTTCAGTAACAATAACCTCATCAATGAACTGTGTATAAGGTATAAACAACCTCTCATTGTTGCACCTAAGTGTCCTGTGAATTAACCTTGAATACATGAGTTTCCACATCTGACCTGTTTCATTTTATCATGTAGGTGATGATGAAAATGTAAAAGATACTGAAGAGAGTCCAAAAGTTGAGGATTGTCTTGAACACATGAAGTGTCTTGCATTTTCAAGAATGAGCGGCGCAGGGACTTGGCATGCGTGATGATTTTCGGATTCCTGACTTTGCACAGCTGGGATTTTTAGTCTGAACATGTACAAGTTTGGTGGATAGAGTAGCAGGTTCTGTGTTTTGGCTGTGGAGCTTTGGGATGCCTTGCCAATTTTGATTCTTGCTTCATTTTTATGCATAATCCTAGATTTGATTACTCTAATCAGCTTTTTTTTATTTTCATGTACCGACTTCAATTTGATGTGGAGTGGCATGATGGAGACAATCTCGTGGATTAAGTATGAAGTTGCACTCGAGGCATTGTAAATGCTGTCATAGAGTAAATATCGTCATGGAGCATGACAAGAGGTATAGCATGATTCCTTGGTTTCGAAACAACAACAATCATGCGTAAGTACATGAATATGTCTATTCATCACGACAAATTACTTGAATCCGGCTCTGAGTTGTGTGTTTCTGTATCAGGTTTTGCAGGTACTTATTTTTCGCAGTGCCTTGTAAACTAACAGACCTCCAACTGATGACAAGAATAACCCCCATCTTTTATCACTTTGTATGTACCATGTGTATTTGCATTTATTATGAACTTGATGGACAGCCTGCTTGCTCATTTTATATTATTGTCAGCATTCATCTCATATCTTCTATTCTTCTATGTGTTTAATAAACTTCAATTTGTCGAGTGATTTATCGAGCCTGAATCAACTTTTGAGCCACTCTATCTCAGGTGTGACTAGCACGGGAGCTCGAAGAACGGATGAAGCAAAGGAATCAAAGAAGGCACATGAAGATAAAGGGATTAAAAGGCTGCTCATAGACTTGTAGCATTAAGAGTGATGACCTTCATGATTCCTTTTTAGGCTTTTGTATTTTGAATGGTTTATAAATTTAGAGCAAATGGCCATGATTTCTGCTCTGTATTGACATTTGTGTAAATTGAAAGTTATAAGTTTTTTCTAAAACTGTATCATGAACATCAGTCCATGTTGATCCTCTTTTGGGATGTTGAATGAGAGTGAGTCAAGAGCTCATGAGGTATATTAATTTTTAGGACTTTGAGTTGTACCTTTATGTTATGATGTGAACAAATATACAGTTGTTACGGTTGTATGATATCCATCACCGTTATGTTTCTCTTTTCTTTTGCTAAGGTAATATTGACCATAGCTTGGTAAGTGACTGCATATAAACCTGAACAACTCCATCTATGCTTTGAAACAATTCCAACGTGGCTAGAATTAATCCAATCATGAATTCAAAATATGGGTTGAATAATAGCCGAAAATGGCTTGAGACAAGGAAACTTGGCTGGTAATAGCTTCGTGGCCTTAGTACCCACCTAAGACATGGTTCAAAACAAAATGATTCTAAACAAAGTTTTCAAATCAATTTGACATATGGCTCGAACTTATTCTGAAACGCTTTGACCATGTCTTAAAATAACTCAAACATATTATAGCTTGAAAGCGAACAACCACATGGTTTAGAATCCATTTGAAGCCACTTGATCATATCTTGACTAACTGATCATAAGAATAAGGGCCTATTTTTCTTTCATCTCCAACTGAATCTACTTGGAACAAATCAAATCCACTCTTGTCATAAATTTATCTTGGCATCAGATCCATTTGAAATGTGTTTCAGAATCATTTTGGACTATCGTTTAAAATCAACTTGAAGTCATATAACCATGTCTTGACTGAGTAATCGTACAATGAGTGCCTAATCCTCCTTTATCTGTCCTTGAAAATACAACAAACCAACAAGAGCTATCAAACACCACAAACTCATACAAGATCCTCATGAACTAAATTTTGGCATATGATAGCCAAAGGCCATATGATGATTTTGTTGGGAAGATTCCATGAAGCAACACTATGAAAAATGAGAGGGTAGGACAAATTTGGGGTATGACAACAACTGACGAGGCTAATCGGTCTAAAGTCTTCGAATTGTTGGGGATTTTTAGTTTTCGGGGCAATCGAGATGAAAGAAGAAGCGAAGGATTTTGGAAGGTAACCAGTTTTGAAGAATTCTAAGATGCAATTCGAGAAATCGACGTCCAGAATCTCCCAGCGAGACTTTATGTATTTGAAATTGAAACCATCGGTACCTGGGAATTTATTACCGTCACAGCTGAAAACAGCAGATCTGACTTCTGCAGGGCAAAAATCAGCTTCCAACCATATCATGTCTTCCTCATTTTAGCAAACAATATGATCAAAGTCGATCGAAAACTTTGGCGATGATTTAGTCTTGTATCTCTCCTTAAAGTACTTCACAGTTTTGCATTTAATGACTTCAGGATCTTCCTCTATCCCTTCTCCCACTCTGATATCAGATATGCAATTCGAACGGTATCTAGATTTTAAGGAATCATGGAACAACTTGGAATTTTGATCCCCATCTTGAAGCCACTTTAAACGGGATTTTTGAGCCAACATGCTTTCTTTTAACCTGAGATTCTTCCACATCTCCTCCTGATTTCTCAATCTTTCCTTGATTAAAACTTTGTTGTTGGAGGTAGAGATTAATTCGCTGTCCAGCTCTAACGAATTAAGGTTAGAAACATTGTCTTCTATCTTTAAGTCTATCCAACCGAAAACATTACGGTTCCAGCTCCGAAGATCACTTTTTAAAGAAGAAAGCTTCTTTATCAGAATGTTACTGTAGGAGCCTGAAACATGGTAGGAGCTCCATGACTGCTTAACAAACGGGATGAAATCCTTATGAGAGAACCAACAGTTGAAGGACCTAAAAGGTTTTGGCCCCCAGTTCACATAATTCGACTTCAACCACACAGGCTTGTGGTCGGAAATATCTCTATCGCCCACCAATTGATTTAACAGGGAAAGCATGGATATTGCAGTATCATCCACGAAAAACCTGTCCAATCTACTTCTGCACTTGCCATTGGAATTGAACCATGTAAACTTATTTCCAACCACCGGAAGATCCGTCAAATTCATCTCAGTAATAAACTCACTGAAAAAATTCATATCCTTCATGCTGTTAGCACTCGTACCTTTTCTTTCCTCCTTAAACTTAACCTCGTTAAAATCTCCTGCCACAATCCAGCCAGCTCCTGAAAAATTACTTTTAATTTTAGCAAGCTCCCTCCACAACTTCCTTCTGTCAGCGGATCCACACGGAGCGTAAACATTGACCACGATAAGATTTTGATTCTTCCACAAGAATTGAATGCCCAAGTAACCAGCACCACAAAAGCTAAATAAAGCTGAAACTTTCGACCTATTCCACAAAGTGATAATTCCTCCAGATCTGCCATTAGAGTTAAGGGCTGACCAACCCATATCAGAATTCCTCCAAATGCTATGAGCAATCCCATCTTCCATATGCGTGACTTTAGATTCCTGAATAAGGCAAATATCAGCGTTGCCTCTCTGCAGAGTTTGAGAGATTCTCCTTCTCTTCAACAAAATGCAGCATCCTCGAATATTGTAGGTCACAATATTCATAATCCACTGGTAGCTACAACCTTCTTACCAAATCTAACAGCATTGTCCTCACAATCCATATTCCTTAGAGTAATTTCCATCTCGTTGTCTTCATCTCCCTGAATCCCTAAGTCCATCAAGTATTTTCTCAATTTGATTGGAACATCGTCTATTGCCCTTTTACAACACAAATTTCCTCTTTCCACATCCGAGTCAGTAATAGAATCACCCCCATGAGATCAGAGCAAGACTGATGAGTTTTATTAATCCTCATGGTCTTATTCCTTCCCTCCCTATCAGAAATCTCCTTCGAAGTTGCTGCAAATCCTTTAGAAGCTGATAACAGAAGGTTTGAGAAATAAGATGGATTATATGGGATCTTGATGCATTTGTAAATCTCATGAAGCATCTTTTTATTTTTGGATTTTCCAACTAAAGCAGGCCCTTGAGTCCCGACTGAAGGCCCACAAATAGGAACAGACAGCCCCAGATCCACAACAAGATCCCCTTTTTGGTTAAAATTATTGTTTGACACGTTGAACTTTTTTTGTTCCATATCAACCGGAACGATAGCAGGACTTTGACCATCTATAGCGTGATCATCTGCAGAGTTCCCAACTGTATTCCCTTGAATACCTACACCTGTTTCGCTCATTCCAAAATTGTTTCTAACTACATATACAATATCAGATGCAGTCTGGATGTATTATGATCCTAGGGGTTCAACATTTGGAAATTTCACAACAGGTTCATTAATCGATGCATTAGAATCCCCACTCTCATCCTCAACAGAATCCTTTCACTCACCATCAAACTCTGATGGGACTGATGATTCAAACTCTTCTGAATTTATCAGCTCGTCTTCTTCACCATTCAACAACAATAGATGGCCACCTGATACTTCTTCATTGATATAAATATGGCAGGTAATATCACTCACTTTAACAGCAAGCTTCTTATTATGAATCACCCCTAAGTTCTTCTTAATCAGCATTCTCGCAGCAACCAAACGCTCTCTCTTACCAGTCTTCTCATCACATCTGATAAAAATTCCCAAACTAGCAGTAATCAAACGAAAGTTGTTATCACTCCATGCAATACTGGGAATGCCACTGCACACAACCCAGGCAAACCTATCTGTGTCCATCTCCTCTTGATCCCATTGTCTAATTTCACTGAACCATAACTCCAACCAATCCTTAGCTTCTTTGATGAATATCTCAACATCTCCACCTGAACTGTCTTCCAACAGGCACTTAGAGGCACCCATAGGTATGGCCTTAATGTTGAAAAATCCTTCTTCATTTATGATCTTCTGGATATTGAAAGCATTTCCTCCCTCCATGACACTCCCACTCTCATTCTTTTTAACCTTTGTTCCTAAATTTCATCCATCTCAAGGTACGTGCAAGGACCACCTCCCCAAGATTTGCTATCAAGCTTGGGCTCCCTCTCACATACTACATTAGCAAAAGATCTAGCAACTGTGATAAACTTCTCAGAGCAACTAGGTCTTCTTAGTTTGCTATGCTTCCGCTCCTTTTCACCTACTGGATTCATCAGCTTCTGATCCAACCCAAACTTGGGTAAGTTAGCATACATCTTATTACCTTCTAATACAATACTATCAAGATTACACGCTAACACTCTGGGATCATGAACCTTCCTAAACTTAGAGAACCCGAACTTCTGCCTCTCTTGTCACGCCTCCCAACTATAAAAACTTCTGATATGACTTCATACACCTTGAACACCTCAAACAACTCTTTAGCATTCAACCTATCTGGGAATTCGGTAATGAAGAATGACAACGTCGGTTCCCCCTCCAGCGCTCCTTTCCCATTATTCTCCTTCCAGATTGAAAAGCCACCCTTCCTTCCATGTCTAGAATTCCTTCCTATCCTTTCCCAGGCCATCAAGAACTACACTCTCGATCCAAAAGAAACCAGAACGGTTACCAAGGCCCCTAAACTCAAAAGCTAGGAATTTAAGCCGAAAATAACTATCTAATATTCAGTGGATCAAGTTATGCAACAAGAATCGAAAGGATGAATAGAAGAAACTAGGGATTAATGGAGAAGAAAGAGGAATTTAGGGATTGGGGTTAAGAATTGGGGATTTTTCATTTTCTTGTATTATAATTTGGAAAAAATGCGTGTACCATACCAATACCCATGTGAATGCACGGATCTCCCACTAGTTTTTCTGATGATAAAAAAGGATGTAGACTTCTGACCGTTGATAATAGACTTTTTTTTAATTGAATAATAAATTAACATGGTCTATATTTAGACCACATGCTTTCATTAATAACTATATTTACAAAAGTAACTTCTTTATACTGAGAGAGGATGAGGAGTACTCAGTGTTTTAAATTTAACCCAACTTTTTTTTATATTAGTTGTCAAAAATAAAAAATATATAAGAGTATCAACATCTATTGCTCACACTTTGGTTCTTTAAATTGGCCCCCGCTTATTTTTTTTATATTATTTCTCATTTCCCAATTATTTAACTATATTTTCTAAATAGCTATATAAACCGTTAAAGTGGACCCCATTAAACACCACATTTATATTTTACATTATTCTATAAAAATATTTAAAATTCAACTAAAGTAATTTAAATATATCAAAAATAATTTAAACATAAAATGACATATATTTAAATTATATCAAAATAAAATTAAAATATATTTTTAATAGCACAATACATGACATTAAATATATATTGTAAATATATCGAAAACATAAACATTAACATAAACTATTAGTTCAAAATACATTAAAGATATATATTTAAATTAATTTTTCAGTTATGACTACTCTATTGAGCAAAATGCTCCCATATATGATCTATCAAATCTTGTTGAAGTTGTCGATGAACTTTTTTATCACGAACATGAAATATTCTAAGTTGAAACTCTTGAAGATCAATATTAGAATTATCTGGTAGTGTTGTCTTGTCATTTCCCAGATTATCGTAAGAATAATCAAAATTTCCACCATATGTGACACATTCTTCTTCAACGATCATGTTGTGCAATATGATGCATGTATTCATTATATGTTTGAGAGCACCCAAGTGCCAAGAACGAGCCATATTACATATGATCACAAATTGAAATTGGAGAACTCCAAATGCCCGTATAATATCCTTTCTAGCACCTTCCTTGCATTGGGAAAATAATTTCCTTTTATCACCTTGTGGCATTGAGATGCTTTTCACAAACGTTTCCAATTTAGGATATATGCTGCTGGTAGATATTAACCCATGTTTTACTCAGTATGATTGATTGTATAACGGGCCTCAAGAGCTCTCCCTTGAAGAACATCATTGAAGACATTAGATTGATTTAACACATAGATACCATTATTTGAACCTGATACTCTAAAGAAAACATTCCAAGTCCATAGGTCTTATGAAGCCATTGTGTTCTTCCAGATATGTCTTCAAACTTGCCCCGTAAATTTATTGTTTTCCTAAATGTTTCGGATGTACCTTCAGAGACCTTGTCGTCATTTCATGCTCTTATAGATGTTCTCATTTTATTTCTTTGTCCCAGAGCTTATTTGACGGTTTTCCGAGTATCTCTGGTGTGTTTCAAAGTTCATTCGATGTTCTTTCGGATGTTCCTGATGTTTGTTTCTCCCAGTATATTTTCCGACAATTCCTGAAGATCCCGCTCGATCTCATCGTTTAAAGGAATGTTCCGAAAACTCCAGCACTTGTCGTTTACCTGATCCTACCGCCGTGTGGATCCTATGTTACCGTTTCATCCTAAAGTGACAACTGGCGGTGCCCAAAGTCATCAGTCCATCTTTCAGATATTATCAATTTTCCGACTGGCTCGGTGGTTAATAATATTCTCAAGAGAACCTCTTTTGAGTGTAGCATCGTGTAGCAACTATTTTGGGACTACTCCCTTATAGTCCTCGCACTACATCCTAGATAAGGCCAAAGTGGGGTTAGGTAACTATTGTCCCCAGTATCACAGACTCCAATCGAAAATAGTAAGTGTTTTCACGAATACTCGATCAACAGAACCATTTTCGAGAGGGTCTCAACTGAGCGGTGATCCTCGAGTCAGCTTGGTCGGGACTCACTCCCTATAAGCCTCGTCGAATATATCACCTTCCTATAACAATGTCACTCAAGTCCGGGTGTAGGACTTATCTCACGACAGCAGATACCCCAAGCAAGGTACAACAGATATATATATATATATATATATATATATATATATATATATATATATATATATATATATATATATATATATATATATATATATATATATATATATATATATATATATATATATATATATATATATATATATATATATATATATATATATATATATATATATATATATATATATATATATATATATATATATATATATATATATATATATATATATATATATATATATATATATATATATATATATATATATATATATATATATATATATATATATATATATATATATATATATATATATATATATATATATATATATATATATATATATATATATATATGTACAAATAATTAATAATGAAGCAAATAGTAAAATAAACAAAGTAGGGGTAACCCTTAAAAGTTAGGCATTTCCCCAGTGAAGTCGCCATTTTCTGTTGCGGTGAGAATAGGATATCAAATTATTAATTAATTTGAATCACAATCTTTGATTCACAACCGGTCTTTGATTTATCCGAAGGGAAAGGTCAAAAGAAGGAAAACCTAATTTTGCTTCGTAAACAATACGGGGAGAGATCTAGGTAAGGGGTTGGTTAAGCTTAGGGAAGATATTAGCACCCTAAACTTTTGTAGTACTCTACAAGAACCTTTTGTTTATTGTTTTCTATTTTGCTTTAATTATTTGCTTGAGGATGTATTGCTAAAGGTTAGAAAGTGACAGAAAGACCTAAGGGGTTAGTCCTAAGATTACTCGGCAAGATTCGCATCTTGTGCCTACGTATCCTGGGTAGGGGATGGAATCAGAGTAATCGTAGTTCCCCTCGAAAGGGAGGTTAGAAACTTCTTGACTGTGGTCAAGGTTTCAATGGGGAATAAGCATTCTTAAAGAAGCGCTTACGTGGAGTGCGGCGACTTCTATTTCTACGTTGAAATAGTTGAATTGAAGTGAATAGGGTAAATTAGGTATTCCACGGCGGGAAACCTAAAACGGAGTGCGGCGACTCCTTATCCTAAAGTTAGGGTAAAGGGTAAACTTGTCCATAGCAGGATGCCTAAAAATATGAGTACGGCGACTCGAATTCTCTAGGTTGTAAAGTTGAATTGAATTTGAAAAGGGTAAACTAGGTATTCCACGGCGGGAAAACTAATGTGATTAGGGTTTTGAAAGGGTCAAAGTTTAGGGTTATTAACTCGGCGGTCAAACAGCTAGACCTAATCCTCCGGAGTGTACTAACGGTAAATAATAACGAAAATAATTAAACGGCAGTACGGAAATATGGAAAAGTAAGAAAATGGTAAAGGATGCAAAGTGACGATAACGTCGCGTAAATTACAAACCAAAATGAAACGGAATTAAAAACAACAGCGACGATAGCCTCGCATAAATTACAAACCCAAAAAAATGCAAAAATAATAAAGAAATAAAAGTGACGATGTACTCGCGTGATTTACAACCGAAAGAACGAAAATATGGCCAAACGTGAGATTAGTAACCACGTGCAAATAAAAGAGAGGGAAGTCAGGTGATAATTAGCGGGAATGTTAATCATTTTTATTTTAGCATTTTTGGGTTAGAAATTTAAGGAAAATTTAGGATTAATGGAAAATTAATTTTAATTTTTAAGTTTTAAAAAGGTTAGTAATTTATAAAAAAAACTTTAATTTATTTAAAAAAGATTTTTAATTTTGGGAGAGAGAGTTCATTTTGTTAATATTTTTTGAAGAAAGGTTAGAATTGAATCTTTAATTAGAAAATTAATTAAGTTTATTTTTAAATGGGTTTAAAATTAAGTTTTATTAAAAAAAATTAATCTAAAACTATTATTTTTGAATTAAGTTTTATTAATAGTGATTTTTGGCTTTAAAAAAATGATTTTTTACTTTTAAGAAATGATTTTTAAATTTTAGAATGATTTTTAATTTTGGTTTTGGGGTTACTAAATAAAAATGCTAATTAATACATTAAAACTAAAATATAGCTACTAATTACACTTATTAAAATAAATAATAAAATAAAATAATAATTAAAATAATAGATAAAATAATTTAAAAAATAATTAAAAAAACAATAAGAGTGGGGAGAGGGGCGGAAGTCCTTGTTGAGACATCTTTTAGGGTTTTTTTTTTCAAACCCCTTAGTCTTCTTCTTCTTCCCTCTTGTGGCGGCACCATGGTTGCCCGGAAGCTTTTCCGTTTTCCTTCCATTTTTGCATGTTAGAAGCTTTATCTCTTGCGGTATCTGCGAAACAAAGCAAACGAAACGACGTTAAACCTGTTGCTCACCTTCTTATGAAGGTTTGAAGCGGCGGATCTGGTGGGCTGTTGTGGCGGAGCGATGATGATGGTCTGAGCTCGCGGTGGACTCTGATGATGGAAACTGAGGAGGTGGTCACGGCGGTAGTGAGCTCTTCCGGAGTTTTATAGTCGCCGCTTGGTGTTGATGATGACGAACAGAGGAGGTTCGTCGCCGCCATTTTGGCTCTGGTGATGAACTTTGAGGGTTCTTCGATCCTCTTTTATTCTTTGATCCCCTGGGTTTTTGTTATCTTTGTGATGAATCTATCCCCCCTTTCTGAAGATGATGATGATATTCTTATATTGTGATCATTCTGGGCCCGGATTGATGTGATTGTGGTTACAACTTTTCCGAATTTTGTTGTGAGTTTGGGCGATTTTCCAGAATGGTTGACGGTTTTTGCGTTTTGGCTGTTGTGATTCGCCTTTTGCTCTGATAAATTCGTTGCTTGCTTGCATGAATGTTGCGCTTTTTCCAGGGAAGTTTTTTTGCTGGTTGGGTTGCAATTCTTACGACTTCTTCTTTGTGATTTGCGATAAAGTTGTGGCATTTTTTTGGAGGTGATTTTGGAGGATTTTCTGGAAATCTGTAGCTTGCGAGAATCTTGTTTGGTTTGTTAGTGAGGCTGAACGTTGGACGGACTTGTTTGATCTGTGGGCTTTGGAAAATTTCTGGGAAATGTGTTAAGGCCCTGTTTGGCAAAACCATTTTTCTGAAAAATGCTTTTTTCAAAAGTGCTTATTCTAAAAATCACTTTTCTGGAAAATCACTTTTAACAGTCACTTTCTCTCTCTCTCTCTCTCTCTCTCTCTCTCTCTCTCTCTCTCTCTCTCTCTCTCTCTCTCTCTCTCTCTCTCTCTCTCTCTCTCTCTCTCTCTCTCTCTCTCTCTCTCTCTCTTGGCTATAAATGAACAGATTAGTGTCACTCTTGTGCCGAGGTCGGAAAAATAAGTCGGGAGCTAGCTTCGACTTTGTCGTTGCCCTCCCGACATACCCGATGATGAGAACTTCCTAAGGGTATTGGAACCAAATAACCACTTTTAATTCTAACCGTTAAAAATTGTCTATTTTGTTGTTGACTTTGCAGGTTCGAAGAAAAAAGATCGAAAACTCGAAGAATCGGAATCGGAACCGACTTTTAGAAGAAATATTAGGAAATTTAGGAATTAAAAATGTAATTTAATCTCCTTTGTAATATTGTAATTTTTGTAATAAAATTAGAATTCAGATAATAAATTCCAATCTTTATCTTTCAATCCAATTTCTCTGATAAAACAAATCAACCGATTAAAATCTCTGAATACTTCCCTAGATTAAACCCAAATGAAAGAACTCATCCGACTAAATTTATGGGATTAATTCACCAGAAACTCCATCAGATTAAGCTCGAACAAATAAATCCAAATAACTTAATTAACCTGATTAAATTCCTTCAGATACGCATAAATTCGTCCCACTCAGTTCATCAGCTTAAACCCACACACATAAACCCGTCTGATTCCAACTGGCCTGATTAAACTCAAGTGACTAATTTCTTCTGATTAAATTTATTCAAGTAAATCAGATCAATTAAATTCCTTCAATGAGATTTATTCGAAACTCCACTGTTCTTTTAAAATCGACTGTCGACTAGCAAAAAGCAGGAAAACACACGTCTATCACAATAAATTCTTCAAATCAAATCTTCACACTGACTTAACGTTGAAAC